TTTCTTTTGCAGCAATGTCTGCAGTCATTTTTACATAGTCTTTGGCTCAGTCCATCAGCATTTCCATGAGATTTTCCTTCTCTATATTCACTATCATAATTATACTGATCTATCTTTGCAATCCAACGTGCCAGTTGTCCCTCTGGGTTCTTTAATGATCTTAACCAACATAACGTAGCATGGTCTGTCCTTATGGTAAACCTGGCGCCATAGAGATAAGGATGGAAATATGTCAGACTCTTTACTATAGCAAGGAGTTCCCTCCGTGTTACACAGTAGTTCCTCTGGTCTACTCAGGATCCTACTGAAGTAGGCCACCACATGTTCTTTTTTGCCCACCTTCTGAGACAACACTCCTCCAATTCCGACATCACAATCCTGTACGGCAGTGAAGGATTTGGAAGCTTTAAAAGTTGAACTGAGGCCAATTTTTCTTTCAATGTCTTGAAAGCATGCTGGCAAGAAACTGTCAGTTCAAACTTCTGGCCTTTTTTTTATCAAATCATGTTGTTGAGCAGCTATAGTTATAAAGTCCTTCACAAACTTCCGGTAAGAGGTACAGTGAAGCAGAAGCCAACGAGACAGAGACCAGTACGGAGAAGATACGTCCCGTAAAATTAAGAGACTTCTTTGAATTTTAATTTTGTGTTTGTAAATTCTGTACATTTAATTAAGTTATTGTTAATTATCTATTGGTTTAATTTAAGAGGCTATTGTTCGGGACGAACAATACCAAGGAAGGGGCAGTGTTACGACAGCGGAAGTCACGTGACTCTGGTAACACGTGATGAGTTTCTAGAAGGATCGGGGAACATCACGAATAATCCAGTATTTGATAGACGCCCTCTATTCCTGTATATAAGCGCGCCAGATAAAGCGAGACAATTAATTGGAATTAGAATTGCAGACAGGTAGAAATTGAGATGGACAACTGAGTCAAGCGCGGCAGTGACCGTAAGTAAAGTGCGTGAATCGTTGTTAATTATAGCGTGTGTTTAAGTTAAAGTGATTGTGGAAATTAACTTTATTGCAAGTTGTATTGAGAAAGAATAAACTAGTTTTATTGAAGAAAGGACTTGTATCGCTAAAGTTTCATCCGAGAAAAATTATATGGGAAATTAACAAACGAACACAGAAGCGTAACAACATGTTTAAACCGGTTTAATTGTATTTTAAAAAACACTATAGATCTAACTTTAATGTGCATATATATAATATATATATAAAGGTAACAAGTGATCTAGGCCTATTTAATTTAGAAATTTTAGATGATTATGTACACGACAGTTATTGTTGACACTTAATTGTAAGTCACCTTGATTGCAGCTCATACAGGTAAACGTTAGGCTACGTGCACAGGAAAGTTCTTCGACTAATATAACGGTTTTTTCACAAACCGAATTGATATACTTAAAACATTTCCAACGGTAAGTCTATTTAACTCGTATCTGTGATAAAAGCAATTTCGTCACGTTGTTGTTCTAAAATATAAAAAGTTATGTTTGAATAATAAACGTCATATCTAGTTTCAATATTTAGTTTATCACCTGATCCCCCAGAAGAGAGTTGGAAAATGACTCTCGTTGAATCCCTCCGGCAACCTTGTTTTGACAGTGGTACTTGGCAAAGAAATCCCAGAGGATCAGAAAAATGCTTATCAGCCAGTGAGTGGGTGTTATTTTTCAAGAAAACAGAACATAAACATTAAAGCAGTTTTCTTTGCTTAAAATACAGAAATTCAAAGAATATGTCCGTCTGTAACGCCGGTGCTTTCTGTCGCAATAAGCAAGTTTGTGTTTTTTAAAATTCTTCCATATAGATATATAACGGACGATACGCTACTTTGGGCATATAATTAGATTTGAGGATAGTTTGGTAGAGATCGTGATTAGTAATTCAGGTATATGCGCGCCACACGCTTGGTGTTGCTGAAGTATAAAAATCATAATCATTACCTGAAATTCGCTATTATTTGCTTGGTTATCAAGGAAATACATTGACGCAACATCATCATATTTTGTCCAATCGGAATCCTCAGCTACAACTATAATAACCCGCATGTTTTACCTGCAGCACATTTCAATTTTGAAAATATTAAAATTAAAGAGCGCTTCTTCAGCTCAACAAAGCCAAAACCAGGAAGGTAGTTTTAGGAGAAGATCCTGAAATTCTTAATAAAATTCAGTGCCTTTACCATCACAATTAATAATTTGCATGGTCATACAGTTGGCCAAGTAGGAATATGTCTTTGAAAATCAGTTTTTTTGTATGTTTCAGTCTATAAGGATTTATCAAGAAGAACATTTGAACATAACTTAAAAATGCTAATCAAGCAATAATTAATGGAGATGAACAAATATACATAAAAAAAATTGTTTTAGTGACATACTAAAAATTGGATAGTCATTCTCTCTCTACATATATTGTTACTAGATTATAAATTTTTAGAAAACATGTTCATCAAACATTTACTTAAATATAATTTTGAGAAGAAAAATTAATTATTATTTACCGTCACAGGATGGGTATTCATATTGTTAGGTATAAATCTTAAGCTTTATATAGCTCAAGCACTTCTCTACTGTAGTACAACTCCTAACGGATCTGAAGTATAAAGTACTTAAACACTTCTCACTGTACTGTGAATAGCTATAGTAAAGTTAATACAGTTCAAGCGAGTAATAAAGAAAACTTTATTAAGGGTTTGACATATCAGCAAATGAACACCGTTTCGACATATTTTGTCCTTATCAGGTACAATTAGCTTACATAGACATAAGAATATATATATATATATACAGCATGGAACAAAAAAGTTACATGACCAGAGATTGCTTAGTAGTGTATTGAAGGTATATTGCCTCCCCGCGGTGTTAGGTTAGAGTAGGACTGCTTTTTCAATTATGGTTGTGTCTACTTTTCGTTCGTGGATATTTGATTCTTTGTTTAAAGTTTCAGTGGATAGATATGAATCTTAAATTTAAAATACTTAGTCGTTTCTGATGTAGAACGAGAATTTTATTTTCATTATATAAGGAGCTTACCAGTACTTCACAATCTGTTCAGTTCAAGCTTATAGTTTTTAATGGCCAAAGTCTCTTTTATAGTAACATGTAGTCATTTTCCGTAATCCCAATGATCATAAATGGCTAAATTGTTGCCGATGGCAACATTTTAAGGCATGTTCTACACTTTCACATATCTTAGTAAACTGTGCTTCTTGATTTGATCTGCCAGTCTTATGAAGTAGATTCTATATATACTCTAGAACATTTAGAGCATTTATACATAAAACGTTCTTCCTCT